GAATTGAGCCCTAATTCCAGAGTTTGCTTTGAAGTCCAACACTACAAACGGGGCCACAGTTTCCGATGAGAGACTCAACTCAAACACTGTCTTATCGTTCACTTTAGTCGACGTCTTCTTCACATCAATTAGTTTTATGTTTGGTTTCACGAGTTTTGAGTTTTTCGGTTCAGTTAATAACATAAAGTTATTTGCCTTTAAATTAGTAGAAAAATGAAAATATTATAATATTAAAAACTCATTTTTAAAAGAGAAATTTTGTATTGATATTTACATCAATTTTATGCTCAAAGTTATTGACATTAACTGAGAGAATGCACTCATTTCTGTCACATTTAGATTGATTCAAGAGATCTGATATCGGAATCGTGTGAATAATATTCGCCGAAAAACTGTCACTTTTGGTCTGACCCTCGACTGTATGAATGGGTTTTACTTGTGACCACTTATACACTTTTATTGAATAGTTGAATGACAACTGTCCTAAATAGTCGTCCCTTACAAATGATACCTTTGAATAAAATAAATATTTGTAGAAATAAAATTATAGTTAAAAAAATATTTGATTCAATACTTTTAAACTCTTATCCCTGTCCTCATAGGGAGACACCAAATGGTTATCCAAATAGTGAATGGCATACGAGTGTAAGACTTTCCATTTACCGTTGTGTTCAATGGATGCCCAACTCGGTGCCGGCCATATGTCATTCAATTGCCAATACAGGGCTCCCATTGTATATCCCTCTCCGTTCTTGGGATCAATTTCACGATTTCTACGATAAAACTCTGTCTCAGTCTTCAGAGCAATCGCTTGAATCAATTGAGAAGAATATACGAAATCATTTAATCTATCGATTCCTCCCTTCGATGGAAGTCTCAGATAATTGGCTGAATTGTAAAGAAAAATATTATTAGAAAACAAAACAATTTTAAATATAATAACAAATCTCTACAAATGTGTTGAAGTATTAAGGCGTCCTCATAGGACCCCTTGTGCTGGTGGTGCTGTACGGCAGGTGTCAATGGGAACGTCAAGTCTGACTCTTCAAATCCTTCCAACAGAGTCTCAATTGATGGATAGGACTGAAAGCCATACTCTGAGCCAAATTTAGTGCTCGGATATGTAGTCCAGTCCCATAGGGAGGAGTTGTCATTATACCAGTGGACATCACCGTAACGATTATCATTCGGGTCTTTGGCAGTATAGTTCTCTTTAATGCTTTCCAATCCATTTGAAGGACTTGAAGTCACAAATGGGCGGGTAGTATCTTCAACCGATACTACCTTTCCTATTGTGTCGACATATAGTTTCCGATAATTAGGGTAATACTCTGGCCTGTCGTGCCACCAGACGGCAATGAACAATTCATTCTCATTATTACCTTTATTAAAATACATTTATATCACAAATAAGTTAGATGAACTTGTAGAGATTATAAGTTAATTTTTAAATACCGGCCCAAATGGCAATGGATGGGTGGTGTTGAAGACGCCTAACTTGTTGTATGGCTTCAGTCTTCACAGAATCCAAGAACTCAGGAGTAGCCGGAGATAATTCACAGGCAAACATGAAGTCCTGCCAAATCATAATCCCGTACTCATCGGCCAACTGGTAGAACAGGTCGGACTCATACACCCCTCCCCCCCACACTCTCATCATATTCATGTTCGCCTCTTTGGCTGAC